TCACACCTGTGATCCTAGCTATCCAGGATGCTGAGACCTGAGATTGGGATTTGAAGCCAGCCAGGACAGGAGATCCATTAGACTCTTTTTTTTTTTTTTTTTGTCGATCGTGGGGCTTGAACTCTGGGCCTGGGCACTGTCCCTCAGTTCTTCAGCTCAAGGCGAGCGCTCTACCACTTGAGCTACAGCGCCACTTCCGGTTTTCTGGTGGTTTATTGGAGATAGGAGTCTCACGATCTCTCCTGCCCGGGCTGGCTTTGAACCGCGATCCTCAGATCTTAGCCTCCTGAGTAGCTAGGATTACAGGCGTGAGCCACCAGCGCCCGGCTCCATTAGACTCTTATCTTCATTTAACCACCAAAAAGCCGGAAGTGGAGCTGTGGCTCAAGTGATAGAGCACTAGCCTTGAGAAGAAATAAAAAGGTTCAATGACAGTGCCGAGGCCCTGAATTCAAGCCTAGAATTTGAACACAGCAGAGGTAGCTTTCTGCACATGTCTATCCATGACCTGTATGCAGTAGTGTTAGTGTCAAATTCTATTCCATGAAGGTTGTAATCCATTGCATTGCTATCAGCGATGTATGAAAGTTCTTTTTTCTTTCTTTACAACAGGTATACTGTCAAACGTAGGGATTTTAGCAAATTAATAGGTGAGTTCTTGGTTTTCTTTTTTCTTTTTCTTTTTGTCAGCCATGGGGCCTGAACTCAGCCTGGGCGCTGTCCCTCAGCTCTTCAGCTCAAGGCTAGGGCTCTGCCACTTGAGCACTTGAGAGCCACCTCCAGCTTTTTTTCTGCTTATATGAGGCTGAAGAATCGAACCCAGGGCCTCACGCATGCAAGGCAAGCCTCTACCACTGAGCCACCTTCCCAGCCCCAAGCTCTTGGTTTTCAATACAGTTTAAAAACAAAAATGTAGGGCTGGAAGGTGGCTCAGTGGCAGAGCACTTGCCTTGCATGCCTGAGGCCCTGGGTTTGATTCTTCAGCACCACATAAGCAAAAAGAAAAAAAGCCGGAATTGGCGCTATGGCTCAAGTGGTAGAGCGCTAGCCTTGAGCTAAAGAGCTGAGGGACAGCGCCCAGGCCCAGAGTTCAGGCCCCACAACTGGACCCAAAAAAATAAAAATAAAAAAACAAAAATGTAGAGAATCTTTTTTTATAGTAAATCTTTATTTTTCTATTACTGTGACCCATCTTCCTACATCTTTTTTAAAATATAATTTCATTAAGGTTTTGTACATGGGATTACCAGTCCATAACTCAGAAGTAAGTACCATTCTTTTTGGACAACGTCACCCCTTCCTTTGCTTTCCCCCAGTTTTCTCCTCCTGTCCCTGTTCACAAGTTACATAGTTCATTCTCCACATAGTGTATATGGAATACTATGACCGCCTTGGTTCACCATTCTTCCCTCCATTTCTGTGCCTCTCTTTGCCTCTCCTAAAAAGCATGAGGTCTTAAATTCAGTCCCCAGTATGGCAAAATAAATAAAATATAAAAAGTTTACAGTTTAAAAGTCAGCTGTACATAGATCATGATTTAAATGGATATATAACACGAATCTGAAAACATTTGTCCTCTGACCTTCGAACTTTCTAGCTTTTGAATTCAAAAGCTGAAGAGATGTCTAATGCCACTCAGATACTCTGTGTGTGTGTGTGTGTGTGTGTGTGTGCACGTGTGTGCACGTGTGCGCGTATGCGTGTGCACATTGAGGCTTGAATTCTGGGCCTCTTGCTCTTGCTTAGTTTTTTTCACGCAAGGCTGGCATTCTACCACTTGAACCACAGTTCCACTTCCAGCTTTCTGCTGATAAACTGGAGATAAGAGTCTTACAGATTTTTCTGTTTGGGCTGGCTCTGAATTGTGATCCTCAGGTCTCAGCTTCCTGAGTAGCTAGCATTGCAGCTGTGAGCTGTCCTTTTTTTTCTATTCTTCACAACTTTTGGAATCTTAAGATTCTAAAATCTTGGAACTGGGAGAGTGGTTCAGTAGGACCCGGTTGCATCTAAAAGGCTCTGGGTCTAATCTTCAGCATCTCCCTTCCAAAAAAAAATTCAAAATCTTTCAATGTTTTACATTTTTAAGCCTTGATATAAGAGCATTTCATTTTTTTGTGCTGGGCTATCTGTGTATCATATTAATCTGAAGAGTCTTACATGTTAGTTGTGAGATACTGTATTATTTGATTATTCCTTCTCTCATTCTTTTTTTGTTTTGTTTTGTTGTTGGACATGGGCCAAGGTGCTGTCCCTGAGCTCTTTTTCTCAAGGCTAGTGCTCTACCACTTTGAGTCAAAGTGCCACTTCTGCTTTTCTGGTCATTAATTGGATTTAAGAGTCTCACAGACCTTCCTGCCCCAACTGGCTTTGAACCATGATCCTCAGGTCTCAGCCTCCTGAGTAGCTCAGATTACAGGTGTGGGCCACTGGCATCCAGCTCATTCATTCTTTCTATTTGAACCACCACAGGCACCATCCTAAACTAAAGGCTTTGGCCTTCTTTCTCCCACCTCCTACATTTCTTAGGTATTTATTCTATTTTCTGTGCCTTTGTCTTTTATGGCTGCAATGTTTCCCTAAGTTCTCTAAGAAGAATTAACTTGTAATACTTCTGGATCTCTGTGATTATGCCAGATTCCAAAGTTATAGCCCCCATTTTTCGATTAGGCTGTGTTCAGTTTGATGAACACTCTTTTGTTTAACAGGGAGTTCTATAGGTATCGAGCATCTATTCAAATGATAGCTTGAAAAGTATCCCTAACTGAAACCTTCCTCTGGTCTAGGGAATGCTTGGAAAGAAAGTGATGATAGTTAAGAATTCCTTATTGGAAGTAATTTTTCTCTTACATACTATTATAACTCCTTAGAGTTAACCTCTTCAAAAAAGTATATTTTGAGCTGGGTGCAATGGATTATACTTGTAATCTCATAGGGGAGAGACTGGAAGGTTGTGGTTTAAGGTAAGCCTAGGTGAAAAGTTAGCAAGGCCTCACCTCAACCAGGAGCTAGGTATGGTTCTGTGTCATCCTGGGAAGTGTGGCACAAGTGGGAGAGAGCCTGCTTAGAAAGTGTGAGTCCATGAGTTCAAACCCCAGTGCTACCATAACAAAATGTATTTTGAAAACTAAAGGTAGTATCTAGTGCATGTTAAGTTTCAAGTTTGGATGTATCTTAGTTATATTGCCTATCAAGTCAAGGCACTAAATAAAACATCCTGCCACCAAGGATTGTTAAGAAGCTGAAGCATAATCCTGTAATAATTGTTTCACCCCTGGAACACAGATATAAATATGATCTGTACTTTCCCACAATGCAGCTTCTTCCCCTAAGGAGAGTGCTCATCGTGGGAGATGGTCTCTGGGGCTTAGTGCACACCATGGAGGTCTCCAGGTGCCAGCTGGTTTGGGATGGCAGCCTGGGATACCATTTGGGCTCCCACACACATCTCTGTCACCTATTGGTGATCAATAGCTGGATCAAATTGTCCTCTCCTGGAGCTCCAGCTAATTGTCTCCTCTACACCCTAGAGAAGCCAGCTGCCTGCCTCCAGTGGCATGCAGCCTCATTGTCATTCTTCTGGAAAGTACAAGGAAGTGCATGCAATGAAAATCTACTTTGATTGTAATCAACAGCCATTAATTTCTGATTTTCCTCAATTGTCCGTGCACCTTTTATGAATCAATAATTTACCAAAAAAAAAAAAAAAGATCAGGATCTGGTGTGGTGGCTCACATCTGTCATTTCAGCTAGCTACTTGGAAGGCTGACATTGTGGCTGGAGGCCATCTGAGCAAAAAATCAGTGAGACCTCAATTAGCAGGGTAACTCCCACTTGTTATCTCAAGCTATATGGGAGGTGGAAATAGGAGGATCAAAATCCAGGCCAACCTGGGAAAAAATATCATGCCCTATCTGAAAAGTAACTAAACCAGAAGACCTAGGGGAGTGGTAGAAATGACAGAGCTTCAGGTGTGAAGCCCTGAATTCAAGCCTATTGCAAACATTTTGAAAAATACCGCCAAAATTATTCCAGCAAATTGTCATGGTCTTATTCATTTCTTCTCCCTTTCCTGTTCCTCTTTCCACTAGTTATATATTCCCTCTCCCACCGTCTCTACTTCTAGCACTAGCCAGACTAACATTTGTTATTTGCACCCAGGTTTGTTGTGTATTTGTCGGTGGTGGGTCTGAACTCTGGGCCTGGGCGCTGTCCCTACCGCTTGAGCCACAGCGCCACTGCCAGCTCTCTACCACTTCCCCAGTTTCTTTGCTTTTAAAGGTCCACTTTCCTGGAAAATGCACAGATCGCTTCTGTGCTTTATTTCTGGGGAAGAAACTTCCCAGGGCCAGGGATCACTCAGACCGGCGCTGCAAGGAAAAGGGCGTGGCATCTCGAGTGGGCAGGGCTGCTGGGAAGCCGGGAGCTGCCCGCCCTCCATCCGGGGACAGCCGTCCCGAACCCTCGGCAGTCTCCCCCCCGCCCCGCCCCGAAGGCGTCCGTGGGCCCCGCGGCCCAGGCTCGGCCGCCTCCCCCGGCTCGCCGCCGTCTGAGGGGTTTTGTGCGCATCCTCCACGTGGGTGCCGGACGCCAGCGCAGCAGCTGTTACGAACCATTGTGAAGGTCTAGGTGCGACCCACACCTTTCTCAATGACGACGCCCCTTCCACCGTAAGGGAGGGCAGCCTTTCCGGAGCTGAGGGCCCCGCTCTACCTCCCTCTATTGCCCTCCGATGGAAAGACTGACGCAGGCGCAGTGACCACCCCGCACCGCGTCTTCCCCCACCTCCCCACTCCTGTCCCCGCCCCCGCCCCGCCTACAGCCTCCCCGGCGGTGAGCATGCGCACTAGATGCCGTCTCAGTTCCCAGGCCCCGCCCCCAGACCCTTTGTCCCGCCCCTAAGACTTAAACCCCGCCCCGGCAGCCTCCCTGGCTCCGCCTCCGCGCACGCGCAGGAGGTTTTTTGTGCCCGGCAGCTGTGGAGCGCGGGAGATTTGTAGGTAATGGCGGGCGCCTGGTCTCCCGGTTGTTGCGAAGGCAGTTCGTCTTCTTCCTGCGTGTGTGACCGCCAGGGCAAGTGGAGCGAGCCCTCGCTGCTGGGCAGGCGGCTGTCCGAAGACTCGAGGCGCCACCAGCTGCTGCAGAAGTGGACGAGCATGTGGAACTCCTCCGGCGGGGACGAGTCGGAGGCGGGCGCGGAGAAGGCGTCGCGCACGGAGGCCGCGGAGGCCGCGGAGGAGGCGGCGGCGGCGGAGGAGACGGGGGCCCGGGGCCCGGGGCCCGAGGAGGAGGAGACCCCGCTGGTGTTCCTGTGCTCCGGGTGCCGGCGGCCGCTCGGCGACTCGCTGAGCTGGGTGACCTGCCAGGAAGACACCAACTGCATCCTGCTGCGCTGTCAGTCCCGGCGGGGCCGGGGTGTGCGGAGGGGGGGTGGGGAGCGGGGGGGGGTGTGTGGGGAGCGGGGGGGGGGGTGTGTGGGGAGCGGAGGGGGGGTGGGGAGCGGGGGGGGGGGTGTGGGGAGCAGGGGCGGGGGGGAAAGGGGAGGGGGCGGCCAGAGTCAGGAAACAGGAGAGGGCGCGGGGAGGGGGGGGGAATCCCATCCCCGAAAGCATCATTTAAATCAGCATAAGGAACGAGGGACCACGTATTTGGGGTGTAGCCTGGCCAGGACGCATTGCATCCCCCGGACATTAAGTAGCAGGCTGTTTATTAATAAACGGGTGACAAGCTTGATCAAGATGCATTGTGCTCAGACTGAACTTCCTGTGAACACCTACTTACAGATAATAAAAATATGGAAAAGCAAAGATTGATTTATCCCATCTTAGTGGCTTCATTAACTGATGTCCTTATAACAACCATAGAGTTATCTTGGGCTTTTTTTTTTTAAGGAGTGGAGTGGCAGGTCAGGCTTGAACTTAGGGCCTGGTTCTCTCTAGGCTCTTTTTTTTTTTTAAATTTATGTAATTAAAAAGTTAATCTTTGACTAGTTGTATAAAGGAGTTTCAATTCAACAAGTCAGTTTATCTTGATTTCTGCTGGTGCTCTACCACTGGAGCTACACCTCCACTTCTGGCTTTTTGCTGATTTATTGGGGATCAGATAGATTTTAGCAAAAAGGGACTCTCAGGTCTCAGCCTTCTGAGTAGCTATGATTCTAGGCATGTGACCCCTCTGTAGTGGCAGAACTCATTTTTTTCTAACTCTCTTAACTTTTAAAGTAAAGGTTGTATTCAGGCTTTTCCAGGGGCTTCCTAGTAGAGTGCTTGCCTAGTGTGCATGAATCCCTGGGTTCGATTCCTTGGTACCATAAAAGCAGAAAAAAACCAGAAGTGGTGCTGTGGCTCAAGTGGTAAGAGTGCTAGCCTTGAGCACAGAGAGGCTCAGGGACAGTGTCCAGGCTCTGCCCAGGATCAGCACAGCACTCCAACCCCTCCCCCCCCAACTTTTCTAAATGTTTGCATGTGTATTATATCAGATCAGGTTAATACAATGTTGTCCCTTACTTTCTAGGTGTTTCCTGTAATGTTTCTGTGGATAAGGAACAGAAATTATCCAAACGCAAAGATGAAGATGGTTGGTAAGTGGAGTAAGGAATGTTATGTTACCATTCCCAGCCAGATTACATGGGATCAGTCTTTCATGGCAGTCACATCAGTGTAAAGTCACTCATTTAAATATATCAGTTCTTCACTGGTGGTAGCCCCTTTTAGATAGTGAAATAGAGGTTCCTAAACTACTAAAGGCATATTCTGATGCTTCCTTTTGGGGGCTTTGGACCTGGTGCTGAAGAAAATTGAAAACAGAAGAAAATATTCATTATTTTAGGATTTCAGAGTCAAAAGGTGCTACCCAGCTTTCTTGTGTCATGGCACACATAGAAAATAATTACATACACAGCCTATTGGATAAGTCAGTCAGGGCAGCCTCTAGGGCCACCAACCCTGGCCTGTGAAATTCTCAGGAGTCCTGACACTTATCAGCCTGCAGGGAGCATCCTCAGTAAGACCAAATGAGATGCTCTTTTTTTTTTTTGTCGGTAGTGAGACCTGAACTCTGGTCCTGGGTGCTGTCCCTGTCCCTGAGCTAGTGCTCTACCACTTGAGCCACAGTGCCATTTCTGGCTTTTTTTTGCTTATGTGGTGCTGAGGAATCGAACCCAGGGCCTCATGCATGCAAGGCAAGCATTCTACCACTGAGCTACCTTCCCAGCCTGGATGCTTTGTCTTAGATAATTGATGCCCCAGATACAAAAATACATCTTACTAGGGTAGAAGAAATAACTTTAGGTGGTGCATACATAAGTGAAAATTGGTAATTGTAATTTTAATGTGGCAGAGGTGATAAGTAGCTGTGACAGAAATTGTGCTGTCAACATGGAAGTGATTGAAATTTGGAAAGCTCAAACTCAGCCTTAAAACATTTCTTATTTTGTGAATGAACAAGGTTGGGGATGTGAGGGTTTTGCTAAGTATTAAGGAATTAGTGCTAAGCTAGGACAGTATTTGCATGTCTCCTTCCTACCTTTGAAGTGGGCATTTCTCTCTGTTTCACTTCATTTCCTGTGTCTGTGTACCACCTGTGCTTGGATTATTTATTTATTTATTTATTGTTGGTTGTGGGGTTTGAACTCTGGGCCTGGGTGCTATCCCTGAGCTCTTAAGCTCAAGTCTAGTACTCTACCACTTGAGCCACAGCACCACTTCTGGTTTTTTGTAGTTTGTTGGAGATAAGAGTCCCATTTTCCTGCCCGGGCTGGCTTTGAACCATGATCCTCAGATCTCAGTCTCCCGAGGAGCTAGGATTATAGGTTTGAGCCACTGGCACTCGGCAGGCTTCATGTTTTTAGTCCTCCTTCCTGTGTCTTCCTGTAGCTGAACTTATAATTGAAGCACCACAGCTGGCCCTAAACTTAGTTGTTTTTTTTTTGTTGGTCGTGGATCTTGAACTCTGGGCCTGGGTGCTGTTCCTCAGCTCTTCAGCTCAAGGCTAACGCTCTACCACTTGAGCCACAGCACCACTTTGAGCTTTTTCTCAAAAAAAGTGGTAAGCACTGTACAGGCAAGCACTGTACCACTGAGCCACCTTCCCAGCCCCTAGCTTAGTTCTTTTTTATAATCTGTATTGGTAGGCTTGCAAAGGAAATTGACTCTTTCATTCGGTGGAAGGCTTGAACTCAGAACATTGTGCTTTTGCTTGGCTTTTCTACTCAAAACTGGTACTCTGCCACTTGAGCCACACCTCTACTTCTGACTTTCTGTTGGAGATGAGTGCCTCAGATTTGTCTGCTTGTGCTGTTTTGTTTTGTTTTGACCTAGGGCTTGAACTTAAGACCTGGGCACTGTCCCTGGGCTTCTTTTATTCCAGGCTAGCACTATACCAATTGAGTCACAGGTCCACTTCTGGCCTTTTCCCTCTCCTTTTAATGTGGTACTGAGGAATTGAACTCAGGGCCTCATGCATGGCAGGCGAGTACTCTATCACTAAGCCACATTCCCAGTTGGGCTGGTTTTGAACTGTGATTCTCAGATTTCAGTCTCCTAAATAGATAGGATTATAGGCATGAGTCACCAGCACTCAGTCACAATCTTAATTGTGTGTGGGGTAATGTTGCATGGAAGTTTGTCTATTCACTGTTCATAATATAAGTGGGTTTCTCTATTTGGGATTTGCTGAGATACTTTTTTTTATGTAGAAGTTTAAGAAAATCCTATAGAAGTTTAATATAAAATCATTGGCATATTTTTTACCTAATTGATTATATCAGCAGTGAAAACTTACAGCTTGCCCCACTGGTGATCCATTTTGGTCTGTATTGTATATGTCACAACGTCTTTCAGTAATGTAATCTGTAAGATGGGTCTCTTGTTTGACCAAAGGAACAGGTATTTAGTGATGGCAAGTTGTTCTCATAGCAAGGTTAATATACTTTTCAATAATCTTTTCACTACTGTGAAATTTTACTACTATAATTAATACTATAACTAAATATCTAGTAGCCATCAACTTGATACATGTTGGGACTGTAATTTTAAGTGTTTATAGAATGGTAAATTTGGATGGACCAATTCAAGGCTATGGGAGAGTGTGCATTCCAAGACAGGTTTAAAGAAGACATTGTGTATGCGTGGAGGGAGAGTGTATTCAAATGTGCGGAACTTGACCAGTTTGGAATGGGACCTGGAATCAGCTAGTTGGGGTGAAAGAAGAGAGTTAAAGAGAGGCGAGGTGAATATGATTGAGCCATTTCCTGTGCATATTTGAAAAGAGAACAATGAAACCCATTAAAATTGTCTAGAGGGGGGGCTGGTAAGGAGCAGTAATAGGGTGAACTCATCAAAGTATACGTGTGTATGGACACATTACAATGAAACCTTTGTACAGTTAATATATGCTAATAAAAAGAAAATGAGCGTGTGCAACTTGAGAAGGATCTAGAATAAAGGAACATTTGTGAAGAGAAATGATGGATGACTCATTAAGCAAAACCTTGTGAATCATCTGTGTAGGACATATCAGTAACTGATAGAAAAGTATTTGTGTCAAAATACAATTTTGTTTAAGAAAAAGGATTCTAATATTACAGAATGAACAGATCACCAGTTTATAAGAAGCAGAACATGGCAGAGCCAGCTCCGAGGACACTGGCCTATATGGCAAATCTAGTTAACGTCTGGAGGACAATAAAATGAACCTTTGGATTAGCCTTTCTTTCACCAGAAATATTCATATCTCTCCTGGACCACAGTTATTTATTTATTTTTTGGTTGGTCATCGGGCTTGAACTCGGCCTGGGTGCTGTCCCTGAGCTCTTCAGCTCAAGGCTGGTGCTCTACCACTTGAGCCACAATGCTACTTCCAGTTTTCTGGTGGTTAATTGGAGATAAGAGTCTCATGGATTTTCCTGCCTACTCTGGCTTTGAGCCATGATCCACAGATCTCAGCCTCCTGAGTAGGTAGGATTATAGGCGTGAGCCACCAGCACCTGGCTGCAGTTATTTTTGACTTCTTTTCCTTTCTACCAGCCACCCTCTAACTTTAGTGAATATGGGTTATTCAGTTGTGCTTTGTGATTGCTTCTGCACTGCAATGGCAAAGCTAATACTTACAATAGACACTAGATGGCCTAAAAGCCTAGAACGTTTATTTATTCTCTGGTTTATTGTAGTCAAAACTTGTCTGCCTCTGCCCTAGAGTGTTAATGACCTTTGGTTGGTTGTTAATGACATCAAAAGGACTTGTCTTTATGTCTTATTTTCAAATTTTAGGTACTTTTCCTTAATACCAAATAGAAAATGCCACTTCATTATTCTTTCTTCTTGTCACCCTGCCCTTCTGTCATAAGATGCCCAAGACAGTGTGGTCTGGAGATGACTGTCTGTATTTTTTTCTGGTCATGGGTGCTGTCTTTGAGCTCTTCAGCTCTAGCACTTGAGCCACAGCACCACTTGCGTTTTTCTGGTGGTTTATTGGAGATAAGAATCTCATGGACTTTCTTGCCCAGGCTGGTTTTGATCCTCAGATCTCAGCCTCCTGAGTAGTTAGGATTACAAGTGTGAGACACCGACACCCAGCTGTCTTTGTATTTTTGTTGTAAGCATTTTAGCATTTTACCCTTCTTTTCTCCTTCATATATATAATTTAACTATGGCCAGAATAACATACATTAGAACTTGAGAGTTGAGAGGCTTATGGACTTTACCCAAGTTTTTGTTGTGGTAGTTTTCTGTTTTATTAAAAAAATATAATAACAAATTGCTACTTGGTCACCTAAAGTGATGGCATTTCATTTCCTTATGATAGCATTCTGGAGACTCTGTACTGTACCGGCTGCTCCCTCAACCTTGGCTACATATACAGATGCACTCCCAAGAACCTAGATTACAAGAGGGGCTTGTTTTGTCTCAGTGTTGAAGCCATTGAAAGGTAGGTTCCATACATAAATGACTACCTCATAACAGATTTCCCAGAAAGTTCAGTTTTGTGGGGACATAGGCATGAAAACAACTGAACTATTAATACATATTTCAATTGCAAAAAAAAGTAAAGCCAGTGGAGTTGTTTTTGTTTATTTTTGACTTGATTTACTTACTACTGGGAAACTCAGACACTAAATTATAGAAGAAATTGTTTTGGAGTAAAAATATATCTAGTCGTTACTGTGTATGTATGTGCTGGTCTTGGGCTTGAACTCAGGGCCTGGGCAGCACTGTCCCTGAGCTTCTTTGACCCAATGCTAGCACTCTACCACTTGAGCCACAGTGCTACTTCTAATTTTTTCTGAGTAGTTTATTGGAGATAAGAATCATGGACTTTCCTGCCTGGGCTGGCTTCATACCATGATCCTCATCTTAGCCTCATAAGTAGCAAGGACTACAGGTGTGACCAACCAGTGTCTAGCTTATCCAGTTGTTTTAAAAAATAAAATGTGGTTAAGTAAGATTTTGTTGTTTTTATTGTTTTGCTTTTTGAGATAGTCTCATGTAACTCAAGTTGGCCTCACAATCCTGAAGACATACGCCACCACATACAGAAGGTTTTTATAAAGTAATTGTGTGGGTCAATCTACGTTTACCACCCTCTCCTATTCCCAGTTATTAGCCTCTGAGAATACTAGGAAGCATAAGAACTTCATAATGGGTTAGGACAGGAGTCCCTTTCATATTGGGAAAACTAAATTCAAACTCTAGCTGGTTCCTACTTCCTCAATCTCCCTTTTTTTGTTCATCATTTGTTTTGGCAAAATGCAAGGAAATATACTTCATTCTCCTGAGATTTCTAAGAAAATCAGTGTTGGGAAATTGCAAACAAAGACATAAAGACAGACATCGGATAAAGATTTTAATAGCCTTCTACTCCATTGGCCTTTTACAAAGGTGCTTGTGCTTTAAATACTTTCACCATGACTTGAATTTTTCATGATATTCCTTGAGAATTGCAGTTTTGCTATGATTTTGTGAAAACTACACAGATTTAATTAAAATTTTATAGTTCTCTTACACAGAAGAACGGTGGAACAAGTACTGTTCATTGTTGTAAAGTGTGGAGGTATATCTGAAGAGAGATCTCTTTGGGTTTTCATATATGAATAGACTGGTTTAGATTAAGTACAAGTATTTTAGATAGTCATGGTGGCCACCATAAAGTTGCATAACGTGATGATAAGTGTTGGAGATAATCAAGAGTTGGCCTTTGTTCATTGAATGTGTGTGGTATGAAAGGAGTTGGCATCACAGATGACTAAAGTCCCCGTGTGAAAACCCACGTTGCTGAAAAGTTTGTTAGAGCGAGGAAGCAGTAGCTTCAGGATCTTTATACTTGCCCATGGATGGAAAATTAATAGCAAAATCTGGACAAGGTGGTTTGGAGGAAAGATGTGACTTTGTGTAGGACAGACAGCTTTCTAGGCAGGTGGCCATTACCAAGCGTAGCCGCTTCATTCCTAACTTGGTGCTAGTATGTGGCATAATAGAGCTTGGTACTTGCTTAGTATTTGTTCCCATCTCCTATTTTAATCTGCCTTGTACTTCAGTTATACTTTAGGGTCCTCTGAAAAGCAAATGGTCCCAGAAGATAAAGAGCTTTTTAATCTTGAAAGCAGAGTTGAAATAGAAAAGTCTCTAAAGCAGGTAATTTTCTTTGGATTTTCTATGTATATTTACTTCCTGTTAGTGAACACAGGGTCTTCCACATAATGGCTCATGTGTCTCTGATCTTCACTTCTTTTTTTTTTTTTTGGTTAGTCGTGGGGCCTGGGCACTGTCCCTGAGCTCTTCAGCTCAAGGCTAGCACTCTACCACTTGAGCCACAGTGCCACTTCTGGCTTTTTCTGCTTATGTGGTGCCAAGGAATCGAACCCAGGGCCTCCTGCATGCAAGGCAAACACTACCACTGAGCCACCTTCCCAGCCCTTATTTCACTTCTTTTATTTTTTTTTTTTGGGGTCCAGTTGTGGGGCCTGAACTCTGGGCCTGGGCACTGTCCCTCAGCTCTTCAGCTCAAGGCTAGCACTCTACCACTTGAGCCACAGCGCCACTTCCAGCTTTTTTCTTTTTGCTTATGTGGTGCTGAGGAATCGAACCCAGGGCCTCATGCATGCAAGGCAAGCACTCTACCACTGAGCCACCTTCCCAGCCCCCTTATTTCACTTCTTACTAAACGTTGTTTTCTTTGAGGGGGAGGACAATCTATGACTGAAGCCAAAGCTGCATCAACAAAATAACAAAGACATTGCATGCCAAAATCAAAGCAGTCCTTTTAAAACAGTCAACTAGAAACTTAGCTTTGAAACTAGTATTCGTTTGGTTGCTTGGTTTAAGCAGCATTGTTGCGGAGTGTTAGCATTATCAGCAGATGGGTAAGATAGGATAGTGGTGTTTATGTAACTGTGGGTTGTAGCCTGAAAACTACTGTTAACAGAGTTACTCCTTAAAGTTTTGTTAAATACTGCACAGCTGCTGTGTAATGTATTATATTCAAAATATAACATATTTTATTTACTTGGCCATGTATACTTTTAATCACATTTGTGTTTCTTTATATTCTTTCTTGCCCACTAGATGGAAGATGTCTTGGTAGCCTTGCAAAGGAAGCTGTGGGAGGTGGAGTCAAAGCTGGCCTTTACCAGTTCTAACAGATGAGCTCTTCCTCCCATCCTGCCTCACCCACTTCTCTCTCTCTCTCTCTCTTTTCTCTCTCCCTCCCTCCCTCCTTTTTTTGTTTTTTGGCCCTTCTTAAATGAGAAGAGTTGTAAAATTATTTCTGCAGTTACATTTTATGCTAAAGAGGAATTGTCACTCATTTACATTTTAAAGCCATTTTATAATACTTGCTAGAGTCGGAATTTAGGAGTTTTTGTTTTGATAAGAGGCTGGGATGACTTTCCGAACTATCTTGTTCTCTATGTTAAAATTCACTATTTTTGACTTAAAAAAATGTCACTTTTAATACTTTGGACAATATTTGATACTGGATTGTAAGAAGATCTTAAACATTTTCGCTGCTTACTATGTGGTTCTGTCTTTGAAACGAGTGCTTACCATGCTCTGGAAAAGCTGGTCAGTTCAATTATGTGTCAGAACTATTTGAAGACTTGCACAAGAGCAAGAGATCCTCCTGCAGCCATCTGCCTCAAGGGTCTTCCCACCTCTCCAGGGAGAAGCAACAGAAGCTGATGTGGAGCCTGCCCTGTGGCTTTGCCAGCAATGCTGCAGGAGCAACAGGTGTGTGAACGGCATTTTCAGAGTCTCTCCTTGTCTCCTTGTAGCGTGGGAGCGGCATCAAGGAGTCCTATCCCATTCAAGCATTTTCAAGCCAGAGAGGTCTGTGGGCATCTGGGTCAGTGCCTAGGCCTACCATGTTTGTCCCACATGGTCCCTGTAGTTCCGGTCAAGTGAGGGGCGTTCTAATGGTTGAAGCTAGGACAGTGCCTCCTAGCATACAGTGGGAACGTCATCAAAGGAGTTCTGAGCAGAGCTTCTCTCCTAGTGTTTTCAAGGAAAGTCTCTGGGAGCAGAAACAGGGGTAACTTTTATTAGCCATGTAACATGGAGGGGCCAACCATTTGAGCCTCTTGTTTCCTTGGCTGTATTCCTTGCATCAAGGACAATGAAATCAGGACAGGAAGGGACCACAGAAAAAAAATGACAGATTCAACTTTCTGATTCAATCTAGCCAGCCTACCACTGAAAAGAAAGTAAAAGAATGCCCAAGTAAAAGGGGACATGCTAAACCACAGTGGATATAGTTCCTTTCCCAGTAAGCATATGACCATGAAGGAAATGAGAAAAAGAAAAAATTCTAGCCTTCTCACTGAAAGATATTTGCTATTAACATTTTGAAATACGTTTTTGTATGGAACTTTGAGATTATCCTGTATATAATTGCTTTCACTTAAGGTCTTTCCTTAGTGTGTTAGTTCTGAATCATTAGAAGTTGACCATCCCTACTATGAAAACCCCAAATCCGAAATGCCCCAAAAAGGGAGAAAAAAATTCAGATCCTAAACCCCAACAAAGTTTTAAGCATTTTGGACAAGGAATTCCTTAACCTGGCATCTTTCACAACCTGAGTTTTAAGGATGAGCTAAGATCAGATCCCTATATTTATAAACTTGCTTAAATGTGCGAATATGGAATGCCAGCATTTTGTTACTGAAATAAATACCTGAAATAATCAGTTTGTGCAGAGAAACACTTCCGTGGTTCAGTGTATGGAGGTTTCAGCCGGCACCGGTTGGGGCCTGTGAAGAGGCAGCGCATGGTGCCGGGTGCGTGTGGCCCACCAAGGCCTCTGTGTCCAGGTGCCAAGGAGAAGAAGAGACCAGATTCCTTCGCTCCCTTAGCGCATTGTGGTGATCTGAAGACTGCTCGCTAGGCAGAACTCCCTTTAGGTTCCTACCACCTTCCAGAGCACCACTCAGGACCAGGCCTTTAACTTGTGAGCCTTTGGGGGACATTTCAGATCCAAATTCTAGCAACTGGCACAAAATTCACGGTTTAGGGGTTTCTTTAGCAATTTTAGTTTACTCATCAAGGGGGAACACACCTCTGAGGTATGCAGGAGCTGTGGGTGAGCCGTTGGCAGCTTGCATTGGCCTTGGTGAGAAATTAGTAGGTGCTGGGGTCCCTCCGGTTCTGAGGTCATTGTTTTCAGCACATTTGTTTATTTCTAACCTCCAGATTATTTGGCTTTGAATTTAGAAGAAAAGAGATGACTTCAGTGATGTCTTCGTGTAATGCTGTAAGTCAGATGGAACACTGTGAGACTTTCAGGGAGCAGAAGCAAAATGGGCAGCGCTTGCCCGTTCGTCACCGTACTTGAACTATTGGATCTAATGCAGACACGTTCTGACTGATCATTATGATTATTTTAGTTACAACCTCTTGGGTTTTAGTTTCTAGGAAAAACATTTAGGGAAGCTGTTGTCAGTAAAGCATTAGCAGTCTTCTTAACATTTTTTTTCTCCCAATTCTGGGGCTTGAATGCAGGGCCTGGGTGCTGTCCCTGAGCCTCTCTGTGCTCAAGGCTAGTGCTCTACCACTTGAGCCCACAGGGCCTCTTCTGGCTTTCTAAAGCAATTTATTGGAAATAAAGAGTTTCACTGGAATTTTTCTGCCTTGGCTGGCTTCGAACTGTGATCCTCAGTAGTTAGGATTACAGGTGTGAGCCACTGTGTCCTGCAACATTAGCAGTCTGGATGTCTAGAAGGATTTAGAAGTTTGTGAGCTCCACACACTCCCTCACCCCATAAAATGAAGCTCCTGTGCCATTTTTGGTGAGTTCATCCATGGCCTTTGTCTTGAGATGCTTTGCCTCTCCTCCCTGCCTCTTTCTAGCTCTGCCCATAGTACCGGCTGGCGTCTCCTCTCCAGTGCCTACATGCCCTCCTCCATCTCCTTTGAGTCATGTCATTTTTCTGGGTTGGTTTAGCATACGCACTCCAGGTAGGGGAGGGCACAGAAGGGCTCATTTGCTGTTCACTGAGATGGCGGCCACCTTTGTACCCCTCGTTGCTCACATCCTCAGCCTCCGTCCACTCCGGCTCCTCTGTGGGCCTGCTCAGGTCTGCTCCTGGTGACAAAGGCACTTGCTGTGGCCCAGGTGCCGCTGAACTGCTGTCCTATTTATGAGCATACCAATGATCCATGTGTGACTGCAGCTTTAGCTTATTGGTTTCCCACTCCATCTTCTCTTGAAGGATACAAGGATTCCTAAGGTGGTCCTGCACTTGCTAGCCAGGTGTTCTACTTTCCAGATACGGTCTGCTTTTGCTCAAGCTGGCCTTGGGCCAAAATCATCCTACCAGTGCTTCCCATGTGTAATCTCAACACACCTGGCTTGTTCTTGGAGATGGTCTTACTAAAGTTTTGTCTAGGCGGGACACGTACGGATCTTTCTAGTGCTATCTTCTGAGTATTGTGGATTATAGGCATGAACCACTGGACCTGGTTCTGATTGTGATATGATGTGATTCTGCTCATGATTCTGATATGATGGAATACAGAGGTTGAATTTCCGGGGGTTTCTATCTTAGTAAAGTAATAATATAGCAAACAGATGGTATGGCCACATGTTATCTTTGTTGATTACTTGTGAATGCAAGGGGGAGACAAAGGGAAAGAGGGAGACATGGCCCTTCCTGAAGACTCTGGGGAATCAAGCCTTGCAGGAAGCAAGGCCCCTTCTTCCCCACAGCAACTACAGTGGAGACAGTGACCCAAACAGATCCGGAACAGCTGCGACTCACCCAAAAGTGATGCGAAAAGGAGACCCCCTGAGTCCCCCTGAGTGCTACATGGGGCAACAATTACCAAGACGACTCCTCTCGCCCTCGGAAGTCTGTATTTTATTCTTGTCCAGGTCTAAGCTTCAGCCTAGATGCTGTCTGAGCTCTTTTTGCTCAAGGCTAGTGCTTAGTGCTCTACCACTTGAGCCACAGCTCCAAATGGGAGATAAATTTCCTCAGATCTGTGATCCTTCCAACTTCGATCCTCAGATCTCAGCCTCTGGAGTAGCTAGGATTACAGGTGTGAGCCACCAACATTGGAGAGAAGTCTGCAACCTCCTCCCCCTCCTCCTCCTCCCCTCCCATCACAGGAAGCAGGAGGAAAAGACCTCATATAGCATAAGGTCACCAAGCCCTGGCTTCTAGCTGAGGGCTTGTATCTCCCGGCCAGTAGCTAGGAGGTTTTCCTCAGTCCCTCTAAATAAACTTTGCCTCTGCTACCACTTTTCCTACCTCATAATTATTTGGTAGAGGACAGAAAGGACCCAAGATGGACCCAAGACCCCTAGATGGTATCAAATGGGTTTAATGCGTTTGTTACCTCTACCTTGGGTGCATTTGAAAAGTTTCGTGAAACCCCAAGCAACCAGTCATCCCTGGGCATTGGTGGGACCTGGCTGGCCCAGGTGCTCTCCTGTGTACCATGCTGTAGTTCTACCATGCTGCACTTCTGCTGGCCTTTCCTGTTTCTCTGGCTCCTGCTTTTGGCCTTGTTTCGAGCTCCGTGGGTTGGCATGGCTCTGCCCCTGCCATGATGTCATTGGTCATGCTCTGCCTCACACCCGCCCTTTTCCCCATGCAGTTCACTTCCCTTCAAGCTTCTGTGTCCCTATCATTTCCTCCAGGAAGTCCTTGCTGATTTCCCAGCTAGAAGCCATCTCTATTTCCTCATTCTTGCCTTAGTGCTTTGGCTTGGTAGTCTAGATTTGTGGGAACTGTTCCTGTAGAGAATGTAGAGGATGTGGGGACCTGCTTCCCTGCTGGATGGAAGCAATTACTAGTGGCTTTTAACTGTGGAGAGCCGTGTTTCTGCCGTACTTTGGGAGAGGTCAGTTATGGTAAATGAGTCTGGAAAAAATACAAAGCTGTGAAAAATGGTGATAGCAAAATGTTCTTAATTGCTTTTAATATTTCAGAATTGACATATAAGAATAAAAAAGAAACTCTCCCCCAAATGCAGTGGTGATGTGGGGTTAGCGTGAAATGTTAATGGTGTAAATAGGAAATTACCAAATGAACGCATTTACATATGTCATTACCCACCTGTGATCATTCTACTGTCACATCAGACTCCATCTTCCTCCTCCCACACCCAGTTAAAAATACTTGGTATTAAATTTCCCTTTTCTATCGCAATACAATGACTTCTTGGGGTTTGGGGGCTGGTGGAAAAGCCACTCCTCCACCAGAAAGAAACAAGGTGTGAAATGGCCGTGGGGAGAGAAGCGCAGCAGACTGGGCATCCTAGGCCAGTGCAGACAGAGCTCACAGACCGGGCATCCTAGGCCAGTGCAGACAGCTCACAGACCGGGCATCCTAGGCCAGTGCAGACAGCTCACAGGAGGCCAGGTGGAAGTAGATGGCCTCGGGCATCCCGCTGTGATAGGCGGGCAGCACTGGAAGGCGTGGCTTTTGCAGAAGTGCAATCCACCGGGCACAGGCCGATGTCCACCGAAAGAAGGTGGTGGTGAGAGACCGTGAGGTGACTTTGTGACCCCAGAAGAGGCTCTGGGTTTGCAGAAGCCAGGCTTTTAGAGTTTGGGGTAGAAAGGTAGAGGGGTGATAGGGCTGCTGTCCGGAGATCCCTGGTCCCCAGAGAAGATACCCACATGGTGCTGCTCTGGGCCATTCCATGGGTGGTGAGGTCTTCCCTTTAGGCCCTGGCAGCTCTCGGGAGGAGCATGGCTTGGCATTGCTCATCAGAAGCACAGGCTGTTGGTAGGCCCTCTGGGGGCTTGTCTTTAATCCTAACTCATCCAGAGGATCATGGTTCAAGGCTAGCCCAGGCAAAAAGTTTAATGAGACACTGTCTCCACAAGCTGGGTGTGGTGGTTTGTACCTTGTGATCTCAGCTACTAGGGAGACATAGGAGGATTGCTGTCTCACGCTGGCCCTGGGCAAAAGATATGAGACTGAGACTATATCTCAAAAAAATTAAGGTGGTGGGCAGGAGGTATAGCTTAGGAGCACCTGCCTAGCAAGCATGAGGCCCTGAGTTCAAGGTGCAGTACCACTGAAACAGCAACGAAAGTCTTGGGCTGTTTGCCACATGGGAACTGCTTCCAGGAGACCTAAATTGGTCTCCACCACACTCCAACATGCTACATGGGCTGCCAAGCTTTTTAAAACAAGATGGTCCTTTGGGGGTACCATTCTCAATCACCCCAGTACCACGGGCGTCTTCAGCACCTCCCTCTGAGCCTGGGGACAGCAGGTAACTCACTTCCAACCTGATCCATTGCTTTCTCCTTGAACCACCACAAGAGGGCGCATCACACCACAACCAGCCCCAGGCAGTGTGGCCAGCCCCGGGGCGGCTGAGCCCTTCCCAGGAGGTTAAGTTGTCTCCTCTCAGCCTGGAGCGTCTCCTTAATTAAAAAGAAGAGTCAGGGCTCCCCACAACTCAGCCTCCCATCCGATTGCCAGCAGATCTTCAGGATTCATTCCTAAATGAATGTGGACACCCACGCTGCTGCAAGCCTGCTCCCCGAGAGACTCAAATGCTACACAGAGAGTTAATTATGGCTTCTCTTTCAGTCATTTCCTATGTCTCCGTGATGCAGGTGCATTACTAAGCCCCTTCTCCCAGTGCTTTCGGAATTCATAATGCTGGGTTTGACTGCATGGCTGGGTGTGGCCAGCTGACAGGTGTCATACTTCCATAACAGAGAC